AGGCAATCCACTCACCTCAGCCTCCCAAAGGTGCGGGATTACAGGCTGAGCCACTGAGCCCGGCTTTCAGTTTTTCTATGACAAGCATTGCATTAGTCAAAAAAAAAAACTAAAAATAATAGAAATGGACTCCAGCTATCTAGAGCAGAAAAGGATTGGTTGTGAGAACATTGGGTGGTTCCAGCATCTTTCCAGATGATAGAAGCAGAGGAAGGTTTAGCAGGATGTAGCTCAGCTGAGGTTAGGCCATGGGGGTGGACTGGGTGGGAGACAGCTGCTGGCATTCCCCCCAGGTACACACAGTCATTGCTGCTGGACTCCCAATGCCCGGGCTGCTGTCATGAACATTCTTTCTTGCTGTCCCTGGGTCTTGCGTCACCTTCTCAAGGTCCAGCTTTCTGGGCAGGATCATCTGACTTGCCAGCATCCATCAGTGCCCACATCCTAGCTGCTGAGTGCAGGGAGGGATGGTCAGGCTCAGCCCTGGGCTCCTCCCACATCTACATAATGGGGATCCCTCAAAACAAGGTGTTCAAATGTGGGATAGTGCAAATGGCATTATTACTATTATTATTATTATTTTTCAGTGTGTCAAATCAGACTGCAGAGCTGTTCTAACAAAGACATGAATCACCACACGGGCATTGCTTTCACAGCGAAAAATTAAACAATCCTTTTGCTTTTTGGTAAAAGACTCTTTGCATCACGCAACGTGGATTAGAGTGAATTCTACTTCCCACAGTATGGATTCAAGAACAGAGTCTGGCCAGGCTGTGGTGGCTCATGCCTGTAATCCCAGCACTTTGGGAGACCGAGGAAAGAGGATGGCTTGAGCTCAGGAGTTTGAGACCAGCCTTGGCAACACAGCAAGACCTTGTCTCTACAAAATATAAAAAAATTAGCCGGGCATGGTGGTGTGCACCTGTAGTCCCAGCTACTCAGGAGGCTGAGGTAGAAGGATCACCTAAGCCTAGGACGTCACGGCAGCAGTGAGCCATGATCATGCTGCCACACTCCAGCATGGGCAACAGAGTGAGACCCCAACTCAAAAAAAAAGATTATATTGGGGCAAGTAATAAGCCCAATAAGTAAGAGAAGGCACAAATGTCCCATCCTTCTGTTGTCTCCACACAGGTGCACCACCATCAGATGCAGACACACACACACACACACACACATGGGCCCGTGTTTATGGGAGGCTTCTTCCTCTCAGTTGCCATCTTTCTTATAGGAGCAATTTTACCAGTGGAGGTAAAATCAGACTGTTTGAGCACTAGACAGTGGGAACTGAGTGTTCCAGGAGTCACCCAAAAAGGCCAATTTTCCAGGAAGAAGGGGCCTCTCAGTGGGTGGAAGGGGGCAATGAGGGAGGATATGGCTCCTGATACCCAAGTCCTGACCCAGGTAAGAGGATGCTATTCACCTTGGGAAGGGATGCAGATAGCAGAGGGGCAGGGGCAGGAAGATGGTGAGTTTATTTGGGGACAGGCCGAATCTGGAGAACATGTATATCACCCCTTCCAAGGTCATAGCCCCTATTGCACACTCTCACAGAAGCCTGAGAGTGAGCCTCTCATCCTCATCTCAACTGCAATTAAATCAATAACTGAGTGTTGAGTCTCTGCTCTGGATTGTAAGCTCCCTGGGGCCACAGCCCACCCAGGTCTAATCACTTTGCTGCTACCATCTCAGCACCTGGCAGAGGGGCAGGCACAGAGCAGGTAAGCAATTGATGTATGGAATCAATAAATGAATCCATCTGGAGCAATACTGGATAGATGGACAGGGAACCAAGAAGAAGACTGGGGCTGAAGCTCTAGGCTCAGGAAAGTTCTGCACTCAGATAGCAACTAAATTCAGTGCATCAGGTAAGATGACCCAGGTGGGCTGGGCAGGTCAAAGAACATAAAACGGAACCTTGGGAAACACCAGCATCCAGAGGGTGCAAGGAAGAGATGCAGCTAGAGAGGTGCAGAGAGAACTGGAGGATGGTGGTGTGGAAATGAAGAGAGGAAAGAGTCTGAAGTATGGAGAAGTCAGTGGAATAAAATATGCTGCTAGGGCTCGCTCTCTCTCTCTCTCTCTCTCTCTCTCTCTCTTTTTTTTAAGAGACAAAATCTTGCTATGTTATCCAGGTTGGTCTCAAACTCCTGACTTCAAGTGATCCTCCCTGGCTTCCTACAGTGCTGGGATTACAAGTGTGAGCCACTGGGCTTGACCTACTGCCAGGTCTTGTAAATAAAAAATTAAAAAAAACAGGCCAGGCTCAGTGGCTCAGCCTGTAATCCTGTGCTTTGGGAGGCTGAGGTGAGTGGATTGCCTGAGCCCGTGGGTTCAAGACCCACCTGGGCAACTTGGTAAGACCTCATCTCTACAATAAATCAAAAATTAGCCGGGTGTGGTAACGCACGCCTGTAGTTCCAGCTACTCGGAAGGCTGAGGCGGAAGGATCACCGGAGTTCAGCAGGTCGAGGCTGTAGTGGCCAGCACTGCACTCCAGTCTGGGCGACGGAGTGAGACTCAAAAAAAAAAAAGTGGTTTTTTTGGTTTTTTTTTTTTTAGTTGGGGTCTCACTCTGTTGCCCAGGGTGGAATGCAGTGGCATGCTCATGACCACTGCAGCCTTGACCTGCTGGGCTCAGGCCAGCCTTTCACTTCAGCATTCCATTCCAGGTAGCTGGGAGTACAGGTGTGTGCCACCATGCTCAGCTAATTTTTGGATTTATTGTAGAGACAAGGTCTGGCTGTGTTGCCCAGGCTGGTCTTGAACTCCTAGGCTCAGGCAATCCTTTTGCCTTGGCCTTCCAAATTGTTGGGATTATAGGCGTGAGTCACCACACCCAGTCAAAAGCAATGATTAAGAAGCACTTATGTTCCAGATACTATTCTGACAGCTCTAAGTGGATTAACTCACTTAATTCTCACAGCAACCATGTGAGGTAAGCATTATCATCATCTTACCCTGCCTGAGTTGGGGACACTGAGGCACAGAGAGAGCACCCAGCTAGTAAGTTCTAGGGCTGCATTTTGACCTGAGGTGACCTGGTCCCCAAGTCTGTGCTCTTAACCATGATATGTGCTGCCTTAGAGAAGGGGTAATAGGTCACTGGTAACATTGGCAAGAACAATTTCAGTGGCACTGTGGGGTGATGCCACATGGCAATGAGTAAAGAATGAGTTGGGAGCCAAAGAGTTAAAGCCAGAAGTCCAGCCCCTTTCTACAAAGAGAAAACCCTTGCTACAGAGACCAGTTGATCTGCACTGACACCACCTTGTCCCTGCATTTTTTTTTTAAGATATGAGGTCTTGCTCTGTCACCCAGGCTGGAGTGCAGTGGCACAATCTTGGCTTACTGCAGCCTTGGCCTTCTTGGCTCAAGTGATCCTCCTATCTCAGCCTCACGAGTAGCTGGGACTACAGATATGTGCTACCACACCTGGCAATTTAAAAAAATATATTTTTTGTGACTGAGGTCTCACTATGTTGACCAGGCTGGTCTTGAATTCCCAGCTTCAAACACTCCTCCTGCCCCAGCCTCCCAGTGCTGAGATTACCTGTGTGAGCCTTGACACCTGGCCTAGACCCTGCATTTTAAATAAGATCCTCAGGCGATTTTTGTGCACTAGGAAGTCTGAGACGCACTAGGCGAGAAGACTCTTTTAGTAACTTTGGCTGAGAAAAGAAAGAGAAAACAAAACACAGCATTAAGTGAGAGGTTTTTCTTTTTAGGATGGGAGAGACATGACTATGTTTACAAGCTTAGAACTGTGGTTTGCAACCCTGACAGCATATTAGAACCACCTGGGTGGCTTTTTGTTTTGTTTTGTTTTGTTTTGTTTTTTGAGTTGGAGTCTCACTGCATCACCCAGACTGAAGTGCAGTGGCCGCTCCCGGCCACCGCAGCCTTGACCTGCTGGGCTCCAGCCATCCTTCTGCCTCAGCCTTCCGAGTAGCCAGGTGTGCGCTACCACGCCCGGCTAATTTTTTGATTTTATTGTAGAGATGAAGTCTCGTCTGCCCAGGCGGGTCTCGAACCCGTGGGCTCAGGCAATCCACTCACCTCAGCCTCCCAAAGGCGCGGGATTACAGGCTGAGCCACCGAGCTGGCTGGGTGTTTCTTTAAAGTGACTGATTTCCTAAGGCCCACCCCCAGAGCCCAGATGGAATGTGTCTGTGTGGCCCAGGTGATTCTAATGTAGGGGGTGGTCTGAGAACCAACCAAGGAGAAGGCACACATAAAAGGAGGACAGGATGAAGGTGCAGGTGCAGGAAGGGATGGCTGGCCGGTTGGAGGCCTATTCCGTGAAATGAGAAGGGATGGGATGAGGCTGAAGAAATGCTAAGGAGGTTTTCTGGAAAGGAGGAGAAGCAGGAAGAGCAAAGCGGAAAGAGAGAGAGGAATGTATACGTGCAGAGGGCGAGGCCCACGAGGAGACAAAAGCTCAGAAGGAAGCACACCTGGAGAACCACGGTTTTTCTTTATGTCTTCTTAAAATGTCAACCAGGGCGTGGTGTGGCACTTTACAATCTCAAGTCGGATGGTGTGCCTGGCCGGCTGGAAGTCTTGCCTGTCTTCTCTGCATGCATGACCCGGCAGGCTCCTGGGCGTCTGGCCTTGCTGACTTCATTCTCTGCTCTCCATTGACCTCCAGCAGAGCCAGCTCTTTCCTGTTCCTTTTCCCACAGCACAGTGATCACGGTCCTGCCTCTGGACTTTGTCCTTGTGGTTTACATCTCCAGGCCATTCTTCCTGCTCCGTACTCTTCCCAGAGAGAACTTTCCTCATCACTCTCTAGTCTTTTCCTCAGAATTGATTTCTATCATGACCCAACATCATGCCATCTACCTACTTGCCTGTCTGGGGATAGCCTGCCTCCTCTGCGGTGGGCATGGATGCCCACCAGCTACAAACGCGAGGCACCGAGGCAGCACTTGGCTGAGAGTTTGATGAGTGAATAAATGGGTGCTCTGCCCCTTGGTGACAATGCGTAGAAAGCTGGGATGAAGGCTATTGCTCAGAGTGTGCCTGGGGAAGGTGAGGAGCTGGGAGACTGCAGAGAGTAAGAGGATTAAAGAAAGCAAATGGGTGTCTTTAAGAACCCAATCAGCTGGGTGCAGTGGCTCAAGCACTTTGAGAGGCTGAGGCAAGAGGATTGCCTGAGTCTGGGGGTTTGAAACCAGCCTGGGCAACTTGGTGAGACCTTGATTCTACAATAAAAAGAAAAAAAATTAGCCGGGCGTGGTAGCCACTTGGAAGTCTGAGGTGGAAGGATTGCCTGACCTCAGCAGGTCGAGGCTGCAGTGGCCATGAACATGCCATTGCACTCCAGCCTGGGTGACAGAGTGAGACTTCAACTCAAAAAAAAAAAA